CTCTACCACTTGAGCCACAGATCTAACTTCTTTTTGTGGTTAACTGGAGATAAGTCAAACCTCCAGCCTTAAATTTCAGACTCCTGAGTAGCTAGGATTACAGTCATGAGCCATTGGCATTAGGGGTTGGTTTTTGTTTTTATTTTCTGTCAGTCATTGGGCTTGAACTCAGGGCCTTAGTGCTGTCCCTGAACTCTTTTGCTCAAGAATAGCACTCTACCACTTTGAGCCACAGTGCCACTTCTGGTTTTCTGGTGGTTAGAGACAAGAGTCTCAAGGAATTCCATGCCTGGGCTGACCTGGAACCATAATCCTCAGATCTCAGCCTCCTGAGTAGCTAGGAATATAGATATGAGCCACTAGTGCCCAGCCTGGCACCAAGATTATCTATCTATCTATCTATCTATCTATCTATCTATCTATCTATCTATCTATCTATCTATCTATCTGTCTGTCTGTCTGTCTGTCTGTCTGTCTGTCTGTCTGTCTGTCTGTCTGTCTGTCTATCTATCTAATCTATCTCTATCTATTGAAATTTAAGTGGGTGTACAAAGAGGTTTCATTTTCATAAATCAGGCTGGCATCTTGGTCAATGTCACTCTTTCCATCTTTTCCCCTTCCATTCTTACCCTAAAGTTGCACAGTTCAACTTTTATATAATGTACATTGAATATAATGAATACATTTGCCCATCTTTCCGCCCTCCATTTGTGTGCACCCTCTATCCCAAACATGTTTCTGCTTCCAGGTATTCATTTGATTAAATAGTTTACTTGTTCAGAGGAATAACACCATTAAACTGCTTTCCTAAGTATACTATTCTTTAGTTTGTGTATATATGCACAAAATCCTACATCTGTTATCATGTATGGAGGTGATTTTAAAGTGGAATTTTGAAGGATGATTTGGTAGAGTTCAAACAGGACAGATAAGCAGAGGTAGTAGCAGGTTGTTGTGCCTGGAATAGAGGATAAAATAGAGATACAATGCTAGGGAGGTGAGCAGAGCCAGGCCACCATGGTCTAAGGCATCAGGCCAAAGAGGCTATTTATAATTCCAAAAGTGATGGTATACTAGGTGCTGGTGACTCATGTCTGTATTCTTGGCTATTCAGTTGGCTGAGATCTGAGGACTGTGGCTCAAATCTAGCCAGAGTAGGAAAATCTCTGAGACTCCAGTTAAACACACACACACACACACACACACACACACACACACACACGCACACACATACTACCACCACCACCAACAAATGGAAATGGTGCTATGACTCAAATAATACAGTGTTAGCCCTGATCAAAAAACTTAGGGACAGCACCAAGGCCCTTAGTTCAAGCCCCAGGACTTAAAAAAAGCAATGGTACTATTCATCTGAATGACACAATTTTCATTTTATGAAGGTTCCTTGGCTGTGGCATAAGTGAATGTGACCCAAGGAAGTGGGCTGGATGGAAGGGAAGAGCGTTGAGTTCAGGGCCACAGGTGGAGGGGTGAGAGCCTGGGAGGCTCTGACCCTTGGCTTGTGTGAATGTGTGTCATTTCTGTGGCCCTGCTTCCTAGGGAAGCAGAGGAGGGGTGGGCTTGCGAGGTATTTGCAGGAAAGAAGAGACATAACAAGAGGGCTCACTTGTTTGGATGGTGGCTGGTAAGGGCAGGAGAGGGAAGTGGAAAGAGGCAGCACATTAGTAAGTAGGGAGGGGACTTGTGAGCTCTGTCTCTAGACTGGTAGGAAAAGACCAGGTGGTCAGGTAGGAGGGAAGGGTGGCATAGGGGAAGGTGAATGCAGTAAATAAGCACAGGATCCTGGGGGGGCTTGAGGGCATTCTTGATGAAATCAGCCCGTCTGCTGTGGGATGTCAGTCCACTCCTCTGCAAGCTTACTCCCTGCCTTCTGTGAGACAGCCTTGTGGGCTGCACTAGAAATGGCCAAAGTGATGTTGAGAGTGTTGATCCAGCAGAGGCCCAGTCAGGGTCCTGTCCCTTATTCACCTCGGAACTGGCATCTGTCCAGTACCTGGCACATGAGCCGATGTGGGTTTCAGGAGGCAAGACAGGCCACAGTTTCTCATGGATATTCTAGTCCAGGCTGGCTTCGAACCACAATTTTCAGATCTCAGCCTCCTGAGTAGCTAGGATTACAGGTGTGAGCCATTGGCTTCACAGGCTTCAAGTTCCAGTATTCTGTCTCTCTGTCTTTCTGTCTCTCTGTCTCTGTCTTTCTCTGTCTCTGTGTGTGTGTGTGTGTGTGTCTGTCTCTCTCTCACACACACATATACATACATATACACATTTATTCTAAAGCAATGGGTGAGAAATGACACTGTTGGTCTCCTCAAGCATGTGTGTTCCTAAAGGCATGATTACCTTGACTGCAGTAAACTTGTACATACCTGCTCAAGGCTTTTCCCTGGTCCCTGGGCAATTCTGCACACCTGGAGACCAGGAGGGCCACAGAAGTGACACACATTCATACAAGCCAAGGGTCAGAGCCTCTCAAGGAGGCACAGCCCTGGTTTTGTTGACAGCTTGCTCATGGGGGTAGGTCTTTCTCACTTGCTCCCTCACCTCCTTTCCTTACTCTCCCACTGGTGCCTCTAGGATCACTTCCCCTTTACACACTTGTAGCCAAATCCCATGCCAGGGCCTACTTCCGGGAAACCCAACAAGGATGGCTTAGGAAGCAAATGACAGAAAGTCCCTGGATCCAAGTTAGCCACCATTGGTCAGAAAGCTTCATGGAGACAGAAGAGATCTGTTTGGGTACAATGTCCTTCTTGGGTGCAGTTCCTGGTACAGAGGAGATACCTAATGCCCCTGTGTCATTTGTTTTTACCAACTTGTTCTTTTCAACTCTTTATCCCCACTCTTCTTTCTTCTAGGCCTACATTTTCTCTTCTGGCCCCTTTTGTTTTTCTCCTCTCTCCTCCTCATTCTTCTCCTGGACAATGGATGCTCTGTGCCCATAGACTTCTGCTGTCCCTAAAATTCTGCTCTGGAGATGAGCCCTCTGGCCACATTGTGACATCACTGGACACTAGCCACTAGCCAGAAGCTGCCTACCTAGGCTGGGCCGTTGGCTTCCTAAGGCCAGTGTAATAGGGTCGCCTTCTCCTTCTGAGCCCCTTACCCTTTAAGGCAGCTCCTAGAACATGGATCCCTCCTGATTCCTTTCTAGCCTAATGTTCCTCACTGTGAAGCTCCTCTTAGGCCGGAGATGCAGCCTGAAGGTATCAGGGAAAGAGAGTGTGGCCATGCTAAAGAAGTTAGTGTCTGAGGAGCTGCAGGTGCCTGAGGAGCAGCAGCATCTGCTGTTCCGTGGCCAGCTCCTGGCTGATGATAAGTGTCTTTCAGACTACAGCATCGGGCCCAATGCCTCCATCAACGTCATCATGAGGCCCTTGAAGAAGCCCCAGCCCTTGTGGCACCAGCTGGATCAGGTCCTAGCCAAACATTTCAGGCCCCAGGATGCCAAGGCAGTGCTGCAACTGCTGAGGCAGGAGCATGAGGAGCGTCTGCAGCAGCTGAGCCTGGAGGCCCTGGAACAGCTCGCATGCTATCTCTTGGCAGAGCAGCAGCCCATGGAGCCAGCTGAGGAGCCCCAGGAAGGGGCTTCAGAGGCCCAGCAAGCAGGAGAAGGAGGAGATGGAGGAGATGGAGGTGGAGGAGGAGGAGGTGGAGAAGGAGATGGAGGAGGAGGAGCAGAAGGAGGAAGTGGAAGTACCTGAGGCTGATCAGTAAACAGGCTAGACCTATGCATCTGCTCACTAAAATTCTGACCTTATGCTTCCATGTTTTCTGGTGACTTTTCCATAACTTTCTTTTAAGATGCATCCGCCCTTCAAAGTAGCTGGAGGGTATTTGGGTCCCTCTGTCCCTCAGTTAAGTGCGTGCCCTCCTGCTGAAATTCAAAATGAACCCACCTTCATCTCTACCTCCTAGAAGAGTTCTGATGGCCTAAAGCAGCCCTCAGTCAAAGGCTGTCTCCATTGTGAGTAGTGTAACTCTTCCCAAGTATGTCCCAGAATCTCTGTGGTTCTAGACCAGGCCTTTCTTCAGAACAAAGACAGTGTGAGTCCATTTTTCCTTATCCTTAGACCTTGGCACCTACGCTCAGCCTCTAATGGCAGACAGAAGAGAATGTAGGGAAGTGCCCTGCCCTCTAGGTCAGGCTGTCCCTGCTGTCTTGCGTTAACTCGCAGTTTCAGGGACAAGGGCAGCAGAGGAGGGAGTTGGGGAGAGGCCTACTATGAGCTAGAACTGAGGCATTCAGAGGCACAGATATACCTTTAAAAGGGCTTCAGAAAATGAAGCTTTAGGCAGAAAAAGAAGTCTGTGCACTGTGCACTGTGTACTCAAGTAGCCAACATGAACAGAATCATACCCCATTGTTCCTGACCAATCAGCAGGTAGCACCAAGCCCTTGGGGTGTGTGTGTATGTGTGTGTGTGTGTGTGTGTGTGTTATGTGTGTGTATTTACTGGGACTTGAACTCTGGGCTTGGACAATGTCCCTTAGCTTTTTTTACTCAACCACTTGAACCACACCTCCACTTCTGGCTTTTTGGTGGTTAATTGGAGATAAAAAGTCTCATGTATTTTCCTGCCTGGGCTGATTGTGATCCTCAGATCTCAGCCTCCTTAGTAACTAGGATTGGAACTGTGACTCAAGTGGTGGCAGAGCACCAAGCTTGAGCTAAAAAGCCCCTACTACCTGCACAACACTGCCCAAGGACTTGGAAGCCAGGGGTGATGTTGAGGGAGCCCAGGCAGCTCCAGGATTACTGTGTAGGTCCCACTCCTGCTCCTGGGTCCCTTCACCATCAACCAGGCATTGCTCTCAGTACTGTGAGTGTGTACTTGTGCTGGGACAGTGCCATTTGCTAAGGGGGACAAGCCTATTATCTTTACATTAGGGGAACTAATAGCCCATTTCCCAGGAAATCTGTGAGCGATAAAAGTAAGTGGGCCGTTTTATTCCTTTAGCTGAGGGAGGCTGGCATGAAGGGCAGGGAAGTCTTTTGTTTTCTCTGGCTAGTGGCACTGTCAGGGTTGGCTGAGAGAGGACTAGAGCAGGCAACCTGCTGCTCTGTCTCCAGCAGGACAGGGAGAGGTCTCAAGCTCCAAATTGGGAAGAAAGGAAGGTGTCAGCTCTTCCACTGCTGACTGTCCCTCTCCAGGGCCATCCTGCCGCTGTCTCTTCCCCTGGAAATCTGAGCTTGTATGAGTTGGTTGATTTCATGCAACCCAGAGCTGCTTCTTATGGGGGTGACAAGCTTTGTGCCCTAATGGATCAAATAATAGCAGGGAATACAGAGAGTGTATATTAACAGCAGTCCCTAAAGTGCCTGAAAAATCCTAGTAAGTATGAAGAACTCCAGTCTTTATGTCTCCCTGCCATGAAGACTCTCAGCTTATTTCAAACAGGGAACCCAGCTCGAGGATCTCTCTGTTCCCTTCTCTGCTTTGCCACTTGGGGGACAATTGGAACAGGGGAGAGTGTTCGTTTTTAAGTTGCAGTCTTGGGCAGATAGCTCTTACCAGCATCCCTTCTCTACCATGGAAGGGCAGATATGTTCCTACAGAAAATAGGAGCCATCTCAGGTCAGCCAAGATTTCCAATTCACAGAGAAATTAGACTCTGCATCCTGGTTTCTTCCTCCATTGTCTGCAGGCTAATACCCCACTGGCACCTGACCAAAGTCTTTGAGTTAGAAACAGGTATAGCATCCTAGTTGTTATATCATTTTTAATTTTATTTAGTTTTTGATTATGTGGTTTTGAGGGATTGAACCCAGGGCCTCATGCATGCTAGGCAAGCACTCTACTACTAAGCCACATTCCCAGCCCCTCATATACCGTTTTTTTTTTTTAATCAGTCATTTATTCCTTGATCAGTAAACACTTATGAGCATCTGTCTTAGTCTGTGTGGGCGATCTTAACAAAATACCCAAGTGGGTCATTCATAAATAGCAGAAAATACCTTTCTGCTTATGATTCTGGAGTCTGGGAAGTCCAAGATCAAGGTGCCATCAGATTTAGCGTCTTGGAAGAACCTGTTCCTTATTGTTGGTGCCTTCTATGTGTCTTCACAGGGGCAGATGGCAAACACACTCCCTTCCATCTCTTTTATGAGGGCAAATTCTGATCCTGATAACAGAATCCTATGACTTAATCACTTCCCCTAAGACTTACCTCGGTCTCGCATTTTTTGTGTGCTGGTAGAGGCTTGAACTCAGGACTTTGTTCCCGTGGCTTATTTAAGGCTGTTACCTTAGCACTTGAGCAATACCTCCACTTCTGGCGGCTTTCTGCCGGTTAATTGGAGATGAGTCTCACAGACTTTTCTACCTGGCTGGTTTCTTAGTGTAATCCTCAGATCCTAGCCTTTGAATAGAGGATTACAGGCATGGGCCACCAGGGCTCCCAAAGACCCACCTCTTAATGCTATCACACTGGGGAAAAATTTTAACATATGAATTTAGACTGGGGGAGGGATATCAGCATTTAGATCACAGCTACCTCCTATCATGTGCTGGGCACTTGGGTTGATAGGCGAGGAGTCCTGGCTCCCATCTCTTGCAGTATTGTAAGAAGGGTGAAGCTTGTAGGAAACCTCTAGTTGAGATATGGTTGAGGGATATGTCCCTTTGTTTCTAGGTCTCTATGTGTTGCTTTGTAGCCCAGGCTGGGCTCAAACTCTAGATCTTCCTATCTCCACCTCCTAAGTGTTGAAATGTGCCACCATTCCTGACTGGTGTCTACTAGTTCTGAATGATTGAGCAGGGAATAGTTTCCTGAGATGAAAAGTCTTTATAGATGTGGAAGAAGCTTATAGGCTTTTAGGGCTCAGGAGACCCTGGGTGCCTGATTTTGGAAGCAAGCCTCAGTCTGCTTCCAACCCTTCTTGCTCAGGATTAAGTGAGACATTGCCTTACAGAGCTTCCAGCTGTTTGAAACTGAGGAAAAGGGGCAGGGATGGAAGGAAGTGGAGGGCAAGGCTGTGCTCCAGTGAGATGCCTCAGGGAAGTCATGGTAACACTGTGGAGATGGGCACCAGATGGGGCTGACAGGGCCTGGGGCACCTCCCATGTGTGCTGGGAGAGGTTCTATTAAGGGGCTGAGGGTAGAATTCTCAGCTTCCATGTCCACATCTGGGATTTAGTGAGCTTGAACACATCTTGATTTTTGCTACATAAAAAATATCAGTGTGGGAAAGGCCATGATAAATGTAGTAAGCTTTCCTTGATTCAGTTCTAAAATGGTTGAATTCCTTATAGTTGAGAGAACCATTGCAATGGATGCTCAGAAGGGTTCAGTCTAAGCCTTCTTATCAAGGCTAATTTGACAACAACACATAATGACAAAAGAACATAATGACTTAACTGATTGGGGTGGAGAGAGGCCAGGAGGAGCCTCTCCCTTCCCTCCTTCCTCCTCTTTCCCCTGTGATCTCTACCTCCCAGTATTCAAGTTTTTGTATGATGTAACTTTGAATGTGACTTGCTTCTGGCTAATTGGGTCTCAGTGTAGAATGGAAGGATCAATCCAAGCCCTGAATAAGTCTGATAGCTGACATTCAGTGTGGAAAGCCCTGAGCTGAGTGAAGTCCTAGGATCCATTTTGTCTCTACCATTTGCCTAGAGTTTGAGCAAGTCGTTTCTCATCTCTGGAAAAGGCTCCTTCCCTTGCAAGATAGAAGAGTCTAAATGAATTTTTTAAAATTTAATTTTATGGCTATTATTAAGGTGTTGTACAGAGGAGTTACCATTTTATGTCAGGTAATGAGTCCCCACTTTCTAAATAAATTTTAAAGGGACCTTGTGGTGCTAAGGTTGGTATGAAGTCACGGGCATGAGCTGTTCTAGGCTGACAAGAACATGTTAGGGATGGGCAGGGGTGAGATGTCAGGAGAGGTTGCTACCAAATTATAAACACACTTTAAAAAAGAAGTATGGAGTGGGCTGACATGGTGGTTTAAGCTTGTAATTTCAGCTATTCAGAAGACAGAGATGGTAAGATTGCAGTCCAAGGCCAGCCCTGTGTAGAAACATGAGAGCCTAACCTGAAAAACAACAACAACAAAAACTAGAAGAGCTGGAATGTGGCCTCAAGGGGTAGAACACTTGCCTAGCCAGTATGAGATACTGAATTCCAACCTCGTATCACCAAAAAGAAGAAAAAAAAACCTTAAAATCATTCAAAGCAGCAATGTAGGTGCTATTTGGGAACACATGCCTAATAGAACATTAAGAAATATTTGCAGTTTCTCTTCTTGTTGGTAGAGTTCATGCTGTTGTAGGACTGAGGGACTTGCCTCTTTGATAGATGTTGGTGGAGGGCATCTGCAGTTCCTAGAGGCAACCCACGCCTCCCAAAGGCTTTTCCAACATGACTGCTTACATTACGAAGTCTGTAAGGACAATCGTTTTTCACTTTTTTCTTTTGTGCCTGTCCTGGAGCTTGAATTCAGAGCCTGGGTACTGTTGCTGAGCTTTTTTGGCTCAAGTCTAGTGCTCTACCATTTGAGCCCTAGTGCCACTTTTGGCCTTTCCTGAGTAGTTTATTGGAATCTCATGGACTTTCTTGCCAGGACTGGCTTCAAACCATGATCCTTGGATCTCAGCCTCCCGAGTAGCTAGGATTATAGATGTGAGCCACCAGCACCTGGCTTTGTCAGGACATTCTTTAGAACAAAACAGCGAGCAAAGACCAGTCCTATTCAAAG